TGATGATGTCGAATGATGAGGAAGATGGGAGTTGTAGTCCAGCGTCTGGAGGGCCAAGTATAATGACATGATGGCCCAGATTCAGGCCTTGAGTTTGACACATGTGAACTAGAGGGCCTTTGGGGGTCTCTTCCAACTCTGTGAAGCTACGTATTCCCCATGTCAATCGGAAACACTTGGGAATAAGTGTTTACTTGTCACATAGAGCATGCAGACTCACTGTTGGCCACTCCAAAAGAATGCAGTCATGCGTGGAAAGGCTTCCAAAGCAAAGTTATTCTTGGCTCGTGAAATAAACCCAGAGAGCCAGAAACAAGCCTTTAAGGACCAAACCAGAAGCTCCTTTGCATACTGTTGGGAGTCAGTGACTTTGTGGGAAAGGGGAAGAGAAGCAAAAGGGAGGGTGGGAAGTCCTGGCTTCCTCCTTTCCCAAATTTGGTCTTTTTCGATGAATGAATCACGTGGTTCCAAAGGGGCCAGCGGTTGGCGGAGGGAAAGGCAAAGGCACCGCAAGCAGGAAGATGAAAAGTTCAAGACTGAACCAAGGAAGGCATCTGCAACGTCTTTCAACGCAAATGAGTTCTTTTCCTGCTTCAACTGTGCATACGTTCTTTTATCAAAGTAATGGTATGGATCATTTGCACTGTGCAGTATGTCTTCATCGCAGTGCAATGCAGTTAAGGTGCATTATATGAGCCTACACCAAGCATACAATGCTGTGCAATGCAGTTAAGCTGCATTAGAAGAGCACACTGATCATATTATGCAGTTCAGTGCAACTGAACCATATTATATAGGTCTAACTGGCCATATATTGTAGTTCAATGCAGTTAAGCTGCATTATATGAGTCTATACTAACCATATAATGCTGTGCAAGGCAGGCATTATATGGTCAGTGAAGGAACTAGTGCAGGGGTTCTCAACCTTCCTCATGCTGCGACCCCTTAATACAATTCCTCATGTTGTGGTGACCCCCAACCATAAAATTATTTTCCTTCCTATGTCATAACTATCATCTTGCTACTGTCATCAATCGTAATGTAAATATCTGACATGCAGGATGTATTTTCAAATTTGGCTCAAATTTGGCACAAATACCTGATACACCCAAATTTGAATACTGGTGGGGTTGGAGGGGGGTTGGGTTGATTTTGTCATTTGGGAGTTGTGGTTGCTGGGATTTGTAGTTCACCTGCAACTAAAGAGCATTCTGAACTCTACCAACAATGGAATTGAACCAAACTTGGCACACAGAACTCCCATGGCAAACAGAAAATATTGGAAGGGTTTGGTGGGCATTGACCTTGAGTTTTGGAGTTGTAGTTCGCCTACATCCAGAGAGCACTGTGGACAAACGATGATGGATCTGGACCAAACTTGGCACGAATACTCAACATGCCCAAATATGAACACTGGTGGAGTTTGGGGAAAATAGTCCTTGACATTTTGGGAATTGTAGTTCACCTACAATCAAAGAGCATTCTGAACCCCACCAATGACAGAATTGGGCCAAACTTCCCACATAGAACCCCCATGACCAACAGAAAATACTGTGTTTTCTGGTGGTCTTTAGTGACCCCTCTGACATTCCCTTGTGACCCCTCCAGGGGTCCCAACCCCCAGGTTGAGAACCACTGAACTAGTGGAAGTCATCTCGGAACCATTGGCAATCATCTTGGAGAGTTCTTGGAGAACTTGTCTCCTGCATCTGCCATCAGTTGGAGATCCCTCCCCTGGCACCAACCACTGATCTAAGCCAAAGTGAAGACAGAGAAGGCCAGGGGACAGTTTATTTATTTATTTATTTATTTATTTCGGGCACTTCTACCCTGCCCTTCTCAACCCCCTAGGGGGGACTCGGCAGCTTACAACCGGCACAATTTGATGCCAACAATTATATATTGTTATAATATTATAATGTAATACAGTATAATACGAATACTAATATGATATTATAATTATATATTTTATATTACATGTAATATTACTAATATTATTACAATATAATTGTATAGTACAATATAGTGATGTATAGCGCTGATATTGTACTGTGCTCATGGTATAATGTATTGTATGTATATATATGTGTGTGTGTGTGTTGTAAGCCGCTCTGAGTCGCCTTCGGGGTGAGAAGGGCAGCATATATTTATGGATTTCAATGGCTTCTCTGTGTAGTCTGACATGGTGGTTGTTTGAGTGGTCCAGCATTTCCGTGTTCTCCAATAATCTGCTGTGTCCAGGCTGGTTCATCAGGTGCTCTGCTATGGCTGACTTCTCTGGTTGAAGTAGTTTGCAGTGCCTTTCATGTTCCTTGGAGGCTCCTTCTTTGGAAGCTTTTAAACAGAGGCTGGATGGCCATCTGTCAGGGGTGATTTGAATGCAATATTCCTGCTTCTTGGCAGGGGATTGGCCTGGATGGCCCATGAGGTCTCTTCCAACTCTTTGATTCTATGATTCTATGATGCATGTTTGGGTAATGTTGCATTTAGGCTCTGCGAAGCCATTGAAATCCACCAGCATGTGGACAATTTTAACAGAAAGGAGGAAACCATGAAAATGAATCAAATCTGGTTACCAGTATGAAAAAACTCTAAAATTACAAGAGCACAACAACAGAGAGGAAACAATCTGGGACATCTAATCACCTCTTTAAAAAGATTGCCCCAGGCACTGCCGGGCCATTAAATGCTAATCAAGGTGGTCAGTTGAAACACTCCCACCTAGCCCCAACAGACAAGAGTCCTTTGTCCCACCCATGAAATTCCACAGACATATAAACCCTTTTTCCTAGTTCCAACAGACTTCACTACCTCTGAGGATGCTTGCCATAGATGCAGGTGAAACGTCAGGAGAAAATGCCTCTAGAACATGGCCATACAGCCCGAAAAAACCTACAACGACCCAGTGATTCCGGCCATGAAAGCCTTCGACAATATATTCAGTATATTTAAATATATAATTTAATATAATGAATATAACATTAAATAATTTTATGTTAGTATATAGTACAGTGTTTCTCAACGTGGGGGTTGGGACCCCTAGGGGGTTGCGAGCAGGTGTCAAAGGGGTCGCCAAAGACTACCAAAAAACACTATACTTTCTGCTGGTCATGAGGGTTCTGTGTGGGAAGTTCTATCGTTGGTGGGGTTCAGAATGCTCTTTGATTGTAGGTGAACTATAAATCCCAGTAACTACAACTCCCAAATGTCAAGATCTATTTTCCGCAAACTCCACCAGTGTTCACATTTGGGCATATTGAGTATTCGTGCCAAGTTTGGTCCAGATCCATCATTTGTTTGAGTCCACACTGCTCTCTGGGTGTAGGTAAACTACAACTCCAAAACTCAAGGAGTATTCCAGTATTTTCTGTTGGTCATGAGAGTTCTGTGTGCCAAGTTTGGTTCAATCCCATCACTGGTGGAGTTCAGAATGCTTTTTGATTGTAGGTGAACTGTGAATCCCAGGAACTACAACTTCCAAATGACCTGTATTCAAATTTGGGCGTATTGTGTATTTGTGCCAAATTTGGTCTAGTGAATGAAAATACATCCTGCATATCAGATACTTACATTACAATTCATAACAGGAGCAAAAGTACAGTTGTGAAGTAGCAACAAAAATGTTATGGTTGGGGGTCACCACAACATGAGGAACTGTATTAAGGGGTTGAGGCATTAGGAAGATTGAGAACCACTGATATAGAATCATAGAATCAAAGAGTTGGAAGAGACCTCATGGGCCATCCAGTCCAACCCCTGCCAAGAAGCAGGAAAATTGCATTCAAAGCACCCTGACAGATGGCCATCCAGCCTCTGTTTAAAAGACTTCACTTCACTCCGGGGCAGAGAGTTCCACTGCTGAACGGCTCTCACAGTCAAGAAGTTCTTTCTCATGTTCAGATGGAATCTCCTCTCTTGTAGTTTGAAGCCATTGTTCCGCGTCCTAGTCTCCAAGGAAGCAGAAAACAAGCTTGCTCCCTCCTCCCTGTGGCTTCCTCTCACATATTTATACATGGCTATCATATCTCCTCTCAGCCTTCTCTTCTTCAGGCTAAACATGCCCAGTTCCCTAAGCCGCTCCTCATAGAGTTTGTTCTCCAGACCCTTGATCATTTTAGTCACCCTCCTCTGGACACATTCCAGCTTGTCAATATCTCCCTTGAATTGTGGTGCCCAGAATTAGACACAATATTCCAGATGTGGTCTAACCAAAGCAGAATAGAGGGGTAGCATTACTTCCCTAGATCTAGACACTAGGCTCCTATTGATGCAGGCCAAAATCCCATTGTCTTTTTTTTGCCGCCACATCACATTGTTGGCTCATGTTTAACTTGTTGTCCACGAGGACTCCAAGATCTTTTTCACACGTACTGCTCTCGAGCCAGGCATTGTCCCCCATTCTGTATCTTTGCATTTCATTTTTTCTGCCAAAGTGGAGTATCTTGCATTTGTCACTGTTGAACTTCATTTTGTTAGTTTTGGCCCATCTCTCTAATCTGTCAAGATTGTTTTGAATCCTGCTCCTGTCCTCTGGAGTATTGGCTCTCCCTCCCAATTTGGTGTCGTCTGCAAACTTGATGATCCTGCCTCAAGTTTATAGTATATTATATTATATATAGTATAGTATATTATATTATATAGTATATTATATTTATGTTATTATATTCTGTTATTATATTAACTAGATCAGATTGATGGCGGTGTAGGTCCAGCCGCAGGGAGAAATGCACAGCACTCCACTTAAGCAATAAAAAGTGGATGGCCATCTGTCGGGAGGGCTTGGGTGGTGTCTCCCTGCCTGGCAGAAGGGGGCTTGGACTGGATGGCTCATTGGTCTCGCCTAAGACTCTGTCTCATTGGAGCAGGCTAGAATCGCATTGGCCCTTTTCGCGGCAGCATCCCCCACCACGCTTTCCCCAGTGGGTGCCGTGTGCCTTTAAGGGCTGGGCCGCCGTCCTCCCCCCCCTTCCCCAAGGAGGAGCTGCCGCCTCCCTCGCTCCCTGCCTCCCTGCGCCCGTCCCCTCCCTGCGCGCCCTTTGTCAACGCTGACATCAGCCTTAAAAGCCCCGCGTGGGGAAAGTGGAGAGCGACCCAAGGCGTGGCCCTCCTCACCCGGCGTCTCCAGCAGCAGCAGCACTGCCCGAAAGGTGAGTCTACACGCAGGAATTGACGCGGTTTGGCACCGCTTTCACCACTTTAGCTCATGCTGTGGGGTCTTGGGACCCCTTGCCTTGGGGAAGAACCCCTTTTCTTAGGCAGGGGAGGAGAAGGACCTTGCCAAACTGCAACGCATAGCATTGATGGAGCCAAAGCGGGTGCGGCGGGTTGCGGTGTCCCCGTGGGGAAGGCTTCACACGTGTCTTGAGACTCCACGTGGGGAAGGCTTGACACGTGTCTTGAGAAACTCCTTTCTGAACTCGAATTTTAGTAAACTTTTTTCCAGCCGAAGGGATTGACTCCATATGGTGCACCCATACTGTCGAATTAATCCAGTTTGATACCGCTTTAAGTGCTATGGCTCAGTGCCGTGAAAGCTGGTGAATGTTATGCAAAGAAAGGATAGGGAACCTTTTCCAGCTGAAGCATTAACTTGGTGAGAAGTTGGGACTGACTCATGGTGCATCCACACTGTCGGGTTAACCCAGTTTGATACAGCTTTAAATGCTATGGCTCAGTGTTATGCAAAGAAATGATAGTGAACCTTTTCCAGCCAAAGCATTAACTTGGTGAGAAGTTGGGACTGACTTATGGTGCATCCACACTGTGGGGTTAACCCAGTTTGATACCACTTTAAGTGCTCTGGCTCAGTGCCATGAAGGTTGGTGAATGTTATGCAAAGAAAGGATAGTGAACCTTTTCCAGTCAAAGCATTAACTTGGTGAGAAGTTGGGTCTGGCTCCTTATGGCGCATCCACACTGTCGGGTTAACCCAGTTTGATACCGCTTTAAATGCTATGGCTCAGTGTTATGCAAAGAAATGACAGTGAACCTTTTCCAGCCAAAGCATTAACTTGGTGAGAAGTTGGGACTGACTTATGGTGCATCCACACTGTGGGGTTAACCCAGTTTGATACCACTTTAAGTGCTATGGCTCAGTGTCATGAAAGTTAGTGAAAGTCATGCAAACAAAAGATAGCAAACATTTTCCAGTCAAAGCATTAACTTGGTGAGAAGTTGGGACTGACTTATGGCGCATCCACACTGTCAGGTTAACCCAGTTTGATACCGCTTTAAGTGCTATGGCTCAGCGTCATGAAAGTTAGTGAATGCTATGCAAAGAAAGGATAGTGAACATTTTCCAGTCGAAGCATTAACTTGGTGAGAAGTTGGGACTGACTTATGGCGCATCCACACTGTCGGGTTAACCCAGCTTGATACCGCTTTAAGTGATATGGCTCAGTGCCATGAAAGCTGGCGAATGTTATGCAAAGATAGTGAACCTTTTCCAGCCGAAGCATTAACTTGGTGAAAAGTTGGGACTGACTCATGGTGTATCCACACTGTCAGGTTAACCCAGTTTGATACCGCTTTAAGTGCTATGGCTCAGTGCCGTGAAAGCTGGTGAATGTTATGCAAAGAAAGGATAGTGAACCTTTTCCAGCCGAAGCATTAACTTGGTGAGAATTTCAGTCTGGCTCCTTATGGTGCATCCACACTGTAAGGTTAACCCAGTTTGGTGCCACTTTGATCCTGCTATGGCTCAGTGCCATGAAAGCCAGTGATTTGTAGCCTGCACTCTTTTATATAAAGCTAAACAAGCTTTATATAAAACTACAGCAATCAGGGTTCCAGAGCATTGAGCCATTAAAGTGGTATCAATCTGCGTTAACTCCACAGTGTGGAGGAACCCCTGGAATGAAAGCATTGAGGCTTCTGTTCAGTTCTTTATAATTCTTCGCCCAATTTTTTCATTCTAAGGTTTATGCTTTCCAATAATTGAGAAATAGTTTAAATTAAAAAGAAAACTGTTATCATTTTAATGGTTTTTAACTGGGATTTAAAAAAAAAATACTGGTTATAGTCAAATCATGTTTTAATGTTCGTATATTTGTATGTTTTTGCATTGATATGCTGCTGTTTTATGTATTATTATTATTATTATTATTATTATTATTATTATTAAGTTGCTTTGAGTCCCCTTTAGAGGAGATAAAGTGAGATAATAATAATAATGATGATGATGATGATGATGATGGGAGCCCCCATGGCGCAGTGGGTTAAGCTGCTGAGCTGCTGAACCTGCTGACCGAAAGATCGCAGGTTCGAATCCAAGGAGTGCTGTGACCTCCCGTTGTTAGCCCCAGCTTCTGCCAACCTAGCAGTTCGAAAACATGCAAGTGTAGGTAGATCAATAGGTCCTCTGAGATCATAGAATCAAAGAGTTGGAAGAGACCTCATGGGCCATCCAGTCCAACCCCATTCTGCCAAGAAGCAGGAATATTGCATTCAAAGCACCCCTGACAGATGGCCATCCAGCCTCTGCTTAAAAGCTTCCAAAGAAGGAGCCTCCACCACACTCTGGGGCAGAGAGTTCCACTGCTGAACAGCCCTCACAGTCAGGAAGTTCTTCCTCATGTTCAGATGGAATCTCCTCTCTTGCAGTTTGAAGCCATTGTTCTGCGTCCTAGTATCCGGGGAAGCAGAAAACAAGCTTGCTCCCTCCTCCCTGTGGCTTCCTTTCACATATTTATACATGGCTCTCCTCTCAGCCTTCTCTTCTTCAGGCTAAACATGCCCAGCTCCTTAAGCCGCTCCTCATAGGGCTTGTTCTCCAGACCCTTGATCATTTTAGTCGCCCTCCTCTGGACACATTCCAGCTTGTCAATATCTCTCTTGAATTGTGGTGCCCAGAATTGGACACAATATTCCAGGTGTGGTCTAACCAAAGCGGAATAGAGGGGTAGCATGACTTCCCCAGATCTAGACACTGTGCTCCTATTGATGCAGCCCAAAATCCCATTGGCTTTTTTTGCCGCCACATCACATTCCTGGCTCATGTTTAACCTGTTGTCCACGAGGACTCCAAGATCTTTTTCACACGTACTGCTCTCGAGCCAGGCATTGTCCCCCATTCTGTATCTTTGCATTTCATTTTTCCTGCCAAAGTGGAGTATCTTGCATTTGTCACTGTTGAACTTCATTTTGTTAGTTTTGGCCCATCTTTCTAATCTGTCAAGATCGTTTTGAATTCTGCTCCTGTCCTCTGGACTATTGGCTATCCCTCCCAATTTGGTGTCGTCTGCAAACTGTATTAAGGGGTCGCGGCATTACGAAGGTTGAGAACCACTGCTCTACCACATAAATATAAGTTAGGCTTATTTTCCATAGTAACTTCTACGCAACCAGAAACTAAACTGATCCAGCATCTAATAATTCCAATGGGCTCTGGTTAACTGGGAGTCTACTCTATACACATAAATGAATCTGAGCCAACTTGAAAAAGTGATGAGAGCAGCCTGTAGACAAAAGGGAGTCTGCTGTGGCCGTTTGTCTTATTTTTTGGTGAGTCCAGGCATTAAAGGCGGTCAAAGGGAAGTGAGCAGGAATGTGGCTTAGCCTCCTATCTCTCTCTCTCTCTCTCTCTCTCTCTCTTTCTCTCTCTTTTGAGCGATGGATGAGGTCCGAATGAGTCATTGTCCCTGTTCTTTCTGGCTGGGAGGGATAAGGGGAGGGGGCGGCGGTGGTGGTTTCAGTCATTCAGTTATTAGACCAAGCCCTTTCCTGGAACCAGCCGCTTGGAAATTGGCCTCTAGACCCTTTCTTCCACGGCTGAGCCCTCCCCAACTTTGTCCTGGCCTGATCTCTGACGGCATCCGTCCGGAATGCGTGCAGCAGGAGCAACAACGGAGGGAGACTGGCTTCCTCCAAAAAGGATCTGGGCTCTCTAAACAACCCATGGATTTCCAAAGATAACATATCCGGCTGCATGGGACACAATTGCTCCCGCTCTTTCGTTTAGCATTGGCACCACTGCTGGTCTGCTTTCTCTCTTCTCCGGCTCTGAGAAGGCCTACCTCACAATGTCTCCGTGTCATCTATGGCTCTCTTTGGGGATCTTTCCTCCCTTCCTTTCCCCCCTATACCTGTTGCCTTCCCTTCCCTTCCCTTCTCCTTCCCTTCCCATCTGTTCCCTCTTTTTTTTTGGTCTTTCTTTCCCCTCTTCTTTCTCCCTTCTCCGGCTCTGAGAAGGCCTACCTCACAATGTCTCCGTGTCATCTATGGCTCTCTTTGGGGATCTTTCCTCCCTTCCTTTCCCTCCTATACCTGTTGCCTTTCTTTCCCTTCCCTTCTCCTTCCCTTCCCATCTGTTCCCTCTTTTTTTTTGGTCTTTCTTTCCCCTCTTCTTTCTCCCTTCTCCGGCTCTGAGAAGGCCTACCTCACAATGTCTCCGTGTCATCTATGGCTCTCTTTGGGGATCTTTCCTCCCTTCCTTTCCCTCCTATACCTGTTGCCTTTCCTTCCCTTCCCTTCTCCTTCCCTTCCCATCTGTTCCCTCTTTTTTTTTGGTCTTTCTTTCCCCTCTTCTTTCTCCCTTCTCCGGCTCTGAGAAGGCCTACCTCACAATGTCTCCGTGTCATCTATGGCTCTCTTTGGGGATCTTTCCTCCCTTCCTTTCCCTCCTATACCTGTTGCCTTTCCTTCCCTTCCCTCCTCCTTCCCTTCCCATCTGTTCCCTCTTTTTTTTGGTCTTTCTTTCCCCTCTTCTTTCTCCCTTCTCCGGCTCTGAGAAGGCCTACCTCACAATGTCTCCGTGTCATCTATGGCTCTCTTTGGGGATCTTTCCTCCCTTCCTTTCCCTCCTATACCTGTTGCCTTTCTTTCCCTTCCCTTCTCCTTCCCTTCCCATCTGTTCCCTCTTTTTTTTGGTCTTTCTTTCCCCTCTTCTTTCTCCCTTCTCCGGCTCTGAGAAGGCCTACCTCACAATGTCTCCGTGTCATCTATGGCTCTCTTTGGGGATCTTTCCTCCCTTCCTTTCCCTCCTATACCTGTTGCCTTTCCTTCCCTTCCCTTCTCCTTCCCTTCCCATCTGTTCCCTCTTTTTTTTTGGTCTTTCTTTCCCCTCTTCTTTCTCCCTTCTCCGGCTCTGAGAAGGCCTACCTCACAATGTCTCCGTGTCATCTATGGCTCTCTTTGGGGATCTTTCCTC